CTGGCCCCCAGGGTGACACAGCCCTGCTCTGGTCCCCAAGGTGACAGAGCCCTGCTCTAGTCACCAGGGTGACACTCCCAGCCCTGTTCTGGCCCCCAGGGTGACACCCATGGCCCTATTCTGGTCCCCAGGGTGACACAGCCCTGGTCTGGTCCCCAGAGTGACACCTCCAGCCCTGCTCTGGCCCCCCGAGTGACACCCATGGCCCTATTCTGGTCCCCAAGGTGACACAGCCCTGCTCTGGTCCCCAAGGTGACACCCCCAGCCCTGCTCTGGTCCCCCAGGACACGCTGGGGGCTGCCCAGGAAGGCTCAGCCTGCAATTCCAGGGCCAGAAAGATGCTCCAAGCGCTGGAGAACCCCTGGAGCGGGGCTGGGAGAGCTGGGGGGGTTCACCTGGAGAAGGGAAAGTTCCAGGGAGAGCTGAGAGCCCCTTGCAGGGCCTCAAGGGGCTCCAGGAGAGCTGGAGAGGGACTGGGGACAAGGGATGGAGGGACAGGACGTGGGGAATGGCTTCCCACTGCCAGAGGGCAGGGATGGATGGGATAGTGGGAAGGAATTCTTCCCTGGGAGGGTGGGGAGGGGCTGGGATGGAATTCTCAGAGAAACTGTGGCTGCCCCATCCCTGGAAGTGTCCAAGGTCAGGTTGGAGCCACCTGGGACAGTGGAAGGTGTCCCTGCCCATGGCAGGGGGTGGCACTGGATGGGCTTTAAGGTCCCTTCCCACCCAAACCATCCCATGATCCCATGCCCGAGGCCTGTGGGACCCGGGAATCTCCCCCTCAGGTGCCCCTCTGGAATGCTCAGCTGATGCTGCAGGAGAAGGACCTGACTCCCAAGGCCCAGCTGCTCAAAGCCCTGTGCCTGCCAAGATCCAGCAGCTCCTGGGATGGGAACCAGGCTGCAGAGCCTCTCCGTGCCCGTTTTCCCAAGCAGGAAGCTCCGTGCTCCACCTCATCCCCCTTTTCCAGAGGCAACTCCTGCCCCTGGGAGTCCCAAACCCTTCTGGGGTTCTTCAGGAGAAGCTGGGGGGGGCTGGATTCACCCTTTTTGCCTCTGGATTCACTGAGCTGAGACAGCAGCTCGTGCCTCCTTCCCGAGGCTCCAGCTTTCCAAAGCTGCCTTCCTTCGGGAATCAAAGCCCCCATTCCTTGGGAAAACCAGCTTGGAGCGACTGTTCCAGGGATCAGCTGCTGTGCCAGGGGCAGGGGGGTGAGCCCAGCACCCCCACCCTGCCTCACCTCCTCCTTCTTCTTCTTTGGTTTGCTCTCCTCCCCCTTGTCCTCCGTGTCCGACTCCGCTTTGCGTTTGCTGCCCTCGGATTTCTCGCTCTCGTGGGCGGTTTTCTGGGATTGCAGGAATTCTGCGATGAGGTCCGGGCAGTCCAGGTTCTCCTCGGGCTCCCAGGTGTTGTCCTCGCTGCAAAGCAAACACGGCAGCTCAGTTCTGCAGCTCCCTGCAGCTTTTTCCAGGCCGAGAAAATCCCGGGATTTCGGCCGAGGAGCAGCAGGTCGGTCTGATCCCGGCGGGAATGTTGGAGGGCAGGGCAGGGATTCCCCTGGAGAGAACTGTAGGTCATTCCTCTGGCTGCTTGTCCCTCTCTGGGAAGGGGAAGACCCCCCCCAGGGCCTGTTTGCAGGGTAGAATTGGGATTTTCCTACCCCAAGCCGTGAGTTTGGGGCGTTTGGCACAGCGGGATTTTCCCATCTGGAATTTGGGGTGTTTAACACAGTGGGATTTTCCCACCCAGGCTGTGATTGGAATTTGGGGTGTTTGGCACACTGGGATTTTCCCATCCTGCCCTCCTGGAATTTGAGGTGTTTGGCACAGTGGGATTTTCCCATCCTGCCCTCCTGGAATTTGGGTTGTTTGGCACACTGGGATTTTCCCATCCTC